CTGAGCCTTTTGCTTGAAAGAACAAGCTCATGTTCAGTTTCAGCTCAAATCTTGTTGGATTGATAGGCAGTTATTTTCTGTTATGCACACAAGCCAATTCTTGAAATTGATTTTCTGTAGAATCCAGTTAGAGTTATTTAAGATTCTCAGTTTTGCTGAGAAGAAATTCGCCAGCACGGTCATTCTTTAAATTTGACACAATGACTTTTAAAATGACTCTGACACTAATCTCCCCTTCTTTGTGGTGATCTGTGGGTGTGAATATGAAAGTAGATGCATTTCTGCGTTTCACAGGTACAGTCTGGTGTGACTCTGCCTAGTCACAGGTTAAATCATTCCAGAGAACTTTGTTCAGTTTCATTCTTACATTTTGCAGGAAGACCAAAGCAAAGGGGAATTTAAAAAAGAAAAGAAAGACTGAGGCAAATTTGTTTCCTGTGTCAACACACTGGGGGCACTGTCATTAATCTGGCTACAAGTACAACATGTTTTAAGTTTGAGGTGGAGTAGAGGTTGGTGTGGGCCCAGCAGGTGGGCCGCTGAGTCTGCTGAGAGCAGCAGAGTGTGAGATAAAAGAGGACGCCGCCTAGAAGGCAAGGCAAATGAAAAGGTCTGGGCTGGGGGCTGCAAGTAGCCAGTGAACACATGTGGGCCTGCACACAACAAGAAAGTTTCTTCTTATAAATTTGGTCAAAATGGGCACACACAAACACAGAAATAGCAAGCTCATCAACGTTAGTTTATATTTGTCCATTTGCTACTAAACGTTTTTTAGTAGCTGGTGTTAAATACGGTTCACATAAACACATGACCATAAGAGTCAGTGTAGGTGTCTGTGTGTAGCTGTCATATCAACTTCTGTTTCTTTGATGCAGGAAGAGCAGATAGAAAGTGTAAATGACAGCATTTTATCTCAGAAACCAGACGAGTTTCAGGACCACATGTTTTTCCATTACTCCACTGGACTGTACATAAATCTCTGTAATGTCAGCTGAACCATAGCCCCAAATTGGGGCTATTGATTTGATATTCAAAGTAAAATAAATCTTTTGGAAGTCTCTGAACATCTAGGCGCCTAGATGTTTACCCCCCTTAATTATATTTTAATTTCAGACCGGTTCAAAGCAGCCTTTTCCCCACAAAGCTAATGAAGAACCCCTTGACCCACTTGGATGAAATCTATTTTTAGCCAACCAGCACTAGTTTAAAATATGGAGGGCTACATACTGCATGGGAAGGACGCTGTATTTGTCGGCTTCTGCTCCCGCCTCTCACACATATGTGGAATTCATCACTACTGAGTGCCTTTCAGCCTGCTTTCTCAGGCTACACAAACACGAGCCGGAAACATAATGCATAGAGCAGAGCATCCCAAACTCAGATGCTCTTGGAATGCTAACATGGTGGTGTTAGATTTCCCAGCTACCACTGCTCCCTCCTGGGTTGAAGCAGCTACAAATTCTTTCAGTTCAGAGGTCAACACAGGATGAAATGTAACTGCCATGCCTGCTGCTGGCCCAGATTTCTACCGGGAAATGATTTGAGGCTCTTTGTGGTTGTGAAAAAGTAGACGCTACCTTCTTAACACAGACTTTCATGCAAAATGTCTCAAAATGACATTTTGTGAAGAAAGTCCAGCTTTTCTGAAGCACAGCTAAGGACAGTGGGTGTCCAAACCCCGCTGTGAGCCCGTCATTTTGTACACACACGTCATCCCTGCAACCCATCTTCACACATACTTGCACACTGGTCGCAATACAAAGAGAAGCTAGAGGAAATAGTGTTTTCAAAAGGACAGTAGGTGCAAGTTCTCCTGCAGCATATATTCTCTCGGCTGACAGCAGCCTGACAGCATGGGTCTGCTTGGGATGAGCCAGAAATTGTGGATGTAATGGGATGGAAAGATCTGGAGTTTTGCCCAAGCCTCTTAAAATGCTAACCAAGTATCAAAGCTGATGATCCTAGCGAGCATTCAGAAAGCAGAAAAACATCCCTTAGGAAAACTATATTTCAAGAGACCTTCGTGAATATCTTAAGCCGATGTTTATCTCCAAACACTGAAAAAGCCCCACTTCTTTCAGTCAACATCTCTCAGAAGCATACGGCTAAATAAGAACTCTTAATAGGTGGTCCAGTTCAGTCCAAATGACAGCTCAATTTTCTTTGTAAAACTAAAAAAAAAAAAAAAAAAAAAAAGTATAGAAAAGCCCCAGAATGGTCTTTTTTGGGCTGAAATGAATATGAAAAGCACCATTTAACGCTTTGTCAGTGGGACAAAGGACACGGCTGTGGAACTGGGAGACCAACCCTCATCTGGCTAAGCTCTCAGAACGTCTGTCCAGGACTCCATGCATTCCTCCTTTAATTTCCCCTCAGTGGGCAAGCACTTTCCCTGCCAGGGACTTGTCTTACCTCCGGTGTAACCGCTGCAGCTGCTTGTGTTTGGATGACCTGGGCCAGGAAATACTAGTGTTGGTCTCTTCCTGTATACCTCTGGGTTCAAAAAGGGTCATAGGGCTTCTAGTAAAAACTACAGTATGGAGGAAAAACAAGTAAATATATGCCCTAAAATTAGATTAATGTAACTTAAATAGAGTAGCCGCCGCTGTGCTGTAGTACTAAAAGGTTACACTGTGATCTTACTACTTGAGGAAGCCCTGCCCAGCTCGTTTCGGTGTTAATGGAGCACCATGGAACAAATGTTTGGGGCGGCAGGGGTGTTAAACACGCCGGGGGTCAGTGTCTGTACCATGGCAACGGCTGGGATGCCGCCTCCTGGGAAAGCAGACATTCAGCCGAGCAGAGCTGTACAACAGCCTGCGCACAAAAACACTGCAAGTCGTAACATGCGTTCCATTCCAGAGTACACACACACACACACCCACACACACAAACACCAAGGAATGGGACAAAAGTTGATTAGCTCACTCATCTGCATCGCCTGTGGTTTCTTTCTGCGATAAACGAGTAGGTTTTTCCACTATATTGAATGTACAAGGTCAAATACAAACAGCAACTGACAACAGCAATAACTGTCATTATATGTCATCTCATATAACTGAGCCTGAAAAGCAACTTGAAGTGAGGAAAAGTGTTATTACACAAGTAGAAGTGAACATGGAATCAAGCGGAGGTACAAGGTGACACAACCAGAACAGGCGAAAATTCGCCAAAGAAAGCTGTCTTAGCCACAGATCAAATCTCCTCTGACAGGATTAAAGGCCTGCACTTTCTAACAATGGATGATGAATGGGTTGCAAAGAGATTTTGATAAAAGGGGGTTGGAAAAAAACATGCACATACAAACCCACAGCCTGTGCCACTGTACCAGTCCACTGTAATACCCTTAGATGTATTGACATTTTCATTGTGGAAACTAAATCAAATGTCATGCAGAACAGAAACAGCCCTCCAAAGCAGCCAGTCATAGTCAACACTCATGCAAATTCTTATAAGAGCCTGTCCAGTATTCTCAAGTGTCGCCAGCCAGAAGCTTTTTAGATCCACACACCACCTATTCATTTATTCATTTCCTCCCGAGCCTAGCCAATAATTTCCCAGAGATCCCATTGCCAAACACCGATTGCTCAAGACAAATGAGATGACACAATGGGCTCGCCAGTCCGCCCACGGAGCAGTGAGGATGAGACGAGTCAGCCTTCACCGCATGACATTTCTGAATTGGATTTCCAATTAGGAGAATTTAATGTAATAATCTCAAGCAAATCTTGCAGTCTCCACTAAGTAACACAGTGGCGCATCACCCCGAGCTTTGCCTTAACACTTCTCCCTCAGAGGAAGGCGGCTGTTACCGGGAAACCCAAGGGAGCAATTTTATATGATTGACATACACTTAACCACAGACAGGCAACCTGCAGGTTGTATGAGAGGCAGCATTTAGAAAAGCTATAAGCCTTATATTTTTAAAGAGTCGACTCTTTTTCAACAAAAGGACTTTTAAATTCTTTCTTTGTAGGTTTTCATATTGTGTGTAACACACTGTGTAAACCACAGAAACTTCATGATTAAAACAAACAAACATGATCTGTCACCAGAGAGAAAAACAAGAATCAAACTGTGGCGAGCCAATAATGCAGATAACATACAGCACAAAATGAAAAATACCTTATCTGATTTTTTTTTATGTTCTCAACATCTGCACAACCTTACAGGGATCGTATACTTCTACTAAGGGCTTGTCCCTTTAGTACATCTTTTAGCTTTACCCAGTGTGTGATTTTGGGTAATTGAATCTGATTATGTCCACAGTCACTATCAATTGCAGACAATACAATGTGGACAAGTATGATAGCTGTTTTTTCAGTTTTTAATAGTGACCTCATAACTACTGAAGGCTGACAGAGAGAGCAGGAGGAAGGAGAGCTAACTCTTTCTAACCATACAGAGTAGGTCTTTAATAGATGTGACAAACCACATCAAATGTTTACCTCACTGAGGACTTCCTCCAGTTACTACTAAAAAGAGAAAGTCATATTCCTGGTTCACACAAGTCTGAGGATAGTCAATAAGGTTTCATACGACAAAGATTTCCTTATAATAAGATAATTTTGCTAAACAATGAGAATCCAATTGTGAGAAGACTTTCCATCTCCAGACCTGTGACTGTGTTCACGTCCAGACTCTATGTAAGCATTATAATTACTGACACATCTGCAATTCGTTTCTTTAAACGTAATCGTGGGCCGATTCGTTACAGATTTCTTTAGTTAAATTGCATAATTTCCTCTCAGGCTGTTTGTGCACATTACAGTAGAAATGGCAGTAACACAGGAGGTGTAGGCTAACAAAGAAGCATGCCACTGCTTGGGCGCTGCACTGGTTTGGCTTGCGATTGTTTGACAATGCAGGGAAGCATGCAAATATGAAACATCGTTTCTTGCAGTAACAATAAAGGATTGGGTAATATTCGCCAGGGGCAAAGCTGCTGTCTGTCTCCCATGTAGTCAGAGCCACCTCGCCTCGGCTTTCCCCAAGATTACCTGAGCAGACTGGAGAGCGGATGAGAGGAGGCGCCGTGGCCACCGCTGTTGCCGCTTCCACCGGTCCCAGACGATCCGCCAGCGGACTGTCGCTTCCCGGATAAAAGCTTCTCCACGGCAGCCAGGTTTCCCGTGCGCGCCGCTTCAAGAAGCTCCTGCTCCTTTCCCATCGCGGATCCCAGAAAGAAATCAAAGGAGGCGCGGGGAAAAGAAGGAAAAAGGGGAGGGGGGTCGGTTATGGGAGTGAAATTCCTGTGCGAGCCCCTCTTTCTCCCGACCTCAAGTTATTTCTCAGTGCTGCTAAGTGTGAAGGGGAAACAAAAGCTCCCTCCGCCGCCGGATCCGTCCGACCCGATCCACGGGTGCTTCTGGCGCTCACTGGAGTGAAAAGTTTCTTTCAACAGCACGGCGCATCGAACAAACTTCCTCTGACCAGACCACTGAGCGTCGTCCGTCACTTCCTCGAAACTGCCCTTTCTTTATGCATCTCCAGTCCGAAACCCTTCAGACGCATTCGCACACACACACATTTATACCCCCTATCACCGCCGCCCTTACTGCTTCAATCAGAAGGTGGATGGATATAAGCAAGATGGCGCATTGAATAGAGACAGGCAGGATTTACCCATTCAGTGCTTTTAAGATCTGTTCGCCTCTGACCTCTTGTATCCACAGTAAACGTCCATACATAGTCCCTTAATTACTTACTAAACGCTTTATAAATTACTGATTGGTAGCTGTAAGTATAAATAATACTACTAGTAATAATATCAATAATAATAACAATAAGAAGAAGAACACAAATTAAGAATAAATATTTATGAATAACTATAACTGTGAATTACTCTTACTATCAATGGAACTACCTGACATTAGCACCTAGGAAACTCTAATCGTATTAATTCCGGTCAAATTAATAAATGTTTTACAGCATTTTGTCCAATGAAAGTAGATAATCTGGGAAATAACAAGAGAAAATCAAGGAATATATAATGCTTTATTTATTTCAGACAGAAGCCACTTGCAGCCTGAATATTCACTGAATATTGCGCTGTAATTAAGGGGCAAAAAGACAAAGCAAAATGAAACGAACAAACAAATGAACGAACATGACCTGTTTATTCCTAACATCTGAACGTTACTTCCACAGTCCTTCGCTGGTTGCTTCACAGAAGGCGGTGTTAATAAAGTTCGTACAAAACGGAAACGGAAATGCGTATGCTGTGTTAGCAACATTACCAGGGAAATTAGCCATTTGCTGCATCGTACCTCTTACTGTAGGTGGTTACGTATTTATATAATCCGTAGCTACTGCGTTCATTAGAATATACTTTTGTGTACTGGGGTATATTATATCAATCAGGCATGTGTTAGCCCCCGCTAGCTTCTAATTATCGTTAGCTTAAATTGACGGCCAGACTGTTGCCGCTGCTTTGTTGACGCCTAGCTGCGTACAGGGTATGTGCATACTGGTTTGTTTGTTTTTTGTAAAGTTTTTATCCACACACTGCTATTAATACTAATGTACCTAATTTCTGGGCTAGCTAGCTAAAACAATTAAGTAATTTAGCCAATTGTAGCTAGCTTTTTAGAGTTGGGGTAAGTATCTCATCAACTTCTTTGATATTTGCAGAATCTAAAGTGAAATTAGTAAAATGGCAGACCCTGCACGGATCAAGAGTGATGATGCACTTAAGAGGACATCTCCTACCGACGAGGAGCACCTGAAGTCAGAGGAGAGTGAAAATCCTTCAGCCACAGAAAAACCTGTAAATGAAAACCTAGAGACATCGTCGCAAGATCAGCCTAAAGAAAATAAACATGTGAGTTTCGGAGCGTCATTTGCATAAGTTATTCAAGAAAGAGGTTAGAAAAGAAAAAGTGGGATAAGTAGGGCGATGAAGAAAGTAAACAGGAGTACTGGAAGGCTAGACGCACTACATAGGCTTGTAGTGAGATGTATGTGAGGAAGGAGAAAAAGAACTTGAATCGACTGGTAGATGGAGAAATCAAGATGGAAAGTATTTGAAGAAGGTTAGGGCGATTAAGGATAGAGATGGAAATATGGTAACAAATGACCCGTGGATCTAGAGAGAGGAAATGATTGGGTGCCAAGGGAGTATTGCTGTTACAGCATGATAAGTAGGGAGCAGATAGAAGAGAGGTGGTTGGAGAGAAGAGGAATCAAAGTCAGTAGAAGCAAACAGAATATATGTACTTGAATGAAAGGGGGATAGGCTTAAAAGTGAAGATGTAAGGAGCTGAGGTACTGAGTGTGTCTATAAATATATGGGCTCAGCCATCCAAAGCAATGAACCGTGCAAAACGGAAGTGAACAAGGGAATGCAGCCATGGTGGAGCGAGTGAAGACGCTTGTCAGGGGTCATTTATGCCAGAATGATAGCAGCAAGGGTGGAAGGGTTACACGATGGTAATGAGACCTGCAATGATGTGTTGTTTGGAGACAGTGGGGGTAACAAAAAGACAGGGGGTGGAGTTTAAGGATGCTAAGATTTTCTTTGGGAGTGACCAGTATGGACAGGGCTAGACATAAGTATATCTACCTCAGGTTGAGTATTTTGGAGACAAAGTTGGAGAATCAAGGCTGAGATGGTTCTAATACCTACAGAGGAAGGATGGTGGATTTACTGGATAAAGGATGTTAAAGATGAAGCTGACAGACAGAAGGTAAAGAAGAAGACCACAGAGAGGTTTATGAATGTAGTGAAGGAGGACATATAGGAGTTTGGTGTATAATAAAACAGGATGAGATGCAGGCAGATGATCCACTGAAGAAACTCCTAAAGAGAGCAGCCAAAACAAGAAGACCCTAGACAGTTGGTTGACAAACTTAAATGTACTGTTTCAGTTCCATTTTAAATAAATATTGTATTACAGTAAAATTAATGTTACATTAAAAATCATTTAACTGACCATATGTATACTAAAAAGTTTAAACCAACAAAAATCCTAAAACCTGAATGATCAGATTTGAATTTTTAGGCTGTCATTTGTGTTTTTGTTATGTGGTTTCACAGTGGTGTCTCTGTCTTTGTAGTATTTCTGAATAATTTTGTCTTCCACTGGATAGGAAACACCAGGGGGAGAAGATGAGGAAGAGGGAACCTCTGGCCAGCCTCCTTTGAAAAGGTTAAAAGTGGAACCTGAGAAGAAAAAGGAGAAGCGGCACAAGGTTGATGAAGATGAAATACAGAAGATGCAGTAAGACGACCTTTTTAATCTCACAGATCATCATTCTTATTCTTGAAATCATGTAATTTGCGAAAATTCGCCATAACTCCATAACATTTTCAGAGTTTTGGTGTCATCATTTTCTGAAGAGCAGCTGAATCGCTATGAAATGTACAGACGTTCTGCATTCCCGAAGGCTGCCATTAAACGGGTAAGGTTTTTTTTTGTTTTTGTTTTTTTTAATAATAATAATAGAGGAAGTATTAAAAAACCCTGAAAATGTTGTATTGATTTGATGTATCTTATTTTAATATTCTAGCTCATCCAGTCAATAACAGGATCATCGGTGTCCCAGAATGTTGTTATTGCCATGTCTGGTATTGCAAAGGTCTTTGCTGGGGAAATTGTCGAGGAAGGTTAGTTGGAGGATTTGAGAAAACCGAAGTCACCCAGACTACGAGGTTGTATGAATTATAGTTTCATGAGGTGTCTTTGCCTTTACAGCTCTGGATGTTTGTGAGAAGTGGGGAGACACACCACCACTTCAGCCCAAGCACATGAGGGAAGCAGTGAGGAGGCTGAAGAGTAGAGATCAGATTCCCAACACAAAGTACAAGAACATTCTCTTTCACTGACACACCTGAGCTGCAGATTGTATGAGGATGACGGATAAATGCCAGTAATTTAATAAGTGGTGCAGAGCATATGGAAAACTCACCATGAAGCCACTTAACACATCTTGCAGCCAAGTAGGCAGTGACTGCAGTCCTGAAGAGCAGTCAAGGCAGCTGCTAAATAAAGCTGAGTTGTCATTCACCCCTCAAAGTCGAGGTAAACGTTTTTCTCATCATTAAATTGGTTGCAACTAAACAGTGAGAAATGATGGTTTTATTTAAAACATGTTTTATATTTTAATAGTCAATGTTTCTTTTTCTTTTTGACTGAAACATTTTAATGTGATTAGGACCAAACTGAAAATGCAAACATCATTTTTAGTTTGATTCCATATTTAAAAGCCTTCGAATCATTTAAGACCCTTCTTCTCTGTAGCCAATAGTATTAGTTGTTTGACCATGAACTGGAATTGGAAATAGTTTGGACTCAAGACAGACTTGATGGAAAAACTGGGTGCTTGACATTTGTTACTTCAGTTTATATTTTTGTGCAGGTTGTAAACAAGAAGATAAATTCTGTTTAAACTGTATTTGTAAATATTGTACTTTGAGATTAAAGTCAAGTTTGCATTATACTAGTAAAATGAGCAGAATGATACTTTGAGTTTTTTGCTCAGACAGCGCCATAAATTCTCTGATACATTGCAACATACAAACATGCATTCAGCTGAAAAAGATAAAGACAAAATGTGTTTAGCAATTAATCATTTATTTATTTTTTTACTTAAATTAATCTCTACATACTACGTTTGGTTCACAGAACCAGTTTAAAATTAGTCTTAATTAAGTGATGAAGACAATATAAAATTCTATTTAATCCTACACAACTCACAAAAAAAGTGTCCAAACATTTGCATCACTTAGAAAGATTTCACAATTACTCCTCCAGTCATTTGAAGTGATTTACATGAAAACAAGTGCAATCTCCACTATACCACACAGGTGCAAGTAATCCACAAGGTATAATCAACAGAACATCACTTCAGCACATGCATCTAGAGAGAGAGCACACCACACTCTGGAGTGAATCTTACACCACTCTTTGTCCACTTCCTTTCTGCATGGCACACTGGGAAAAAGTTAGATTTACATAGAAACCCTGGCCTGCTCTGGAGTGCAAATAAACTCTGGTGTAACAGGTAATGAGCAGATTTAACTTAAAGCACCAGTTGTTTTTTTTTGTGGAACAAAAATGCTACTAAACATGGAAGCCTGACTGAGGAGAAAGAAACTGGGTAAACCTCAGAGCTACATGATGCATCCAGCACGGCACGTTCAATTCCGTACCAATATATCCGTCTACTACAGGCATGCAAAAGCAAACACCAACAGCTGAGAAATATCACATCTCTAAGTGATAATGAGGTTAAAAGCCAGTCTATGTTCTATTACATGTATAGATAGAGGATATTTTGAGTTATACAGGTAATTGATCACCCCGTGAACTAAAGAACTCCACATCAAAAAAGTGTAGTGTTACGGTTCTTTGTCATGTTTGTGGATAAACTTGAGTGTCTATTGCTTTGACATCTAACATTCCTCTTTAATAACATAAAATGTCGGTCACAGGCTGTAAATTTGCTAAAGTGCAAATTGAAATTGTAAATTTGCACTTGCTAAAAAAATTAAAATGATAAATAACATTTTAAATGGAGTGTATGCTGGCAAGTCAACACCACCAGAGGTCTCAGAAGGACCGTTATGAGTTTAAGTGAGTGGA